CAAAGCCACATGTTTTTGACATGACTAATACCCTACCTTTCCCCAATATTGAATATATGTTGGTGGTAAGCTGTCAAGGCAATAATAATAACAAGTTTCACTACTAAATATATTTATGAATTGCATAATTTCCCAACTCTTTTAATGAGAAACTAGATCCCTACACAATTATAAAATATTTTCCTTACAGACATTCTTTAGAGGTTTTTAAAAATTAGCACAGAATATCATCTATAGGACATGATTTAATATAGTCCTACTTTATAAACTTTATGAGTACAAATATTATTAGCCATTAAATATTGATTTTTGAGAAATATTAAGCACCCACTATGTGCAAAGCAGTGTGCTAGAAGCTGGAGAGATACACAAGAAGAAGGGAGGAAGGAAAGGAGAAAGAGAGGCAGGAAGGGTGGAAGGAAAACAGGAAGAGAAAGAGTTTGGGAAGAAGGGAGGGAAGGAGGAATTTATTAAGAACCTACTATGTTCCAGGAACTATGCTAAGTGGTTTATAACTATTATCTTACTTTATCCTCACAACAACCCTGGGAGATAGGTGATATTATTATCCCCATTTTATAGCTGAGGAAACAGGCAAACAGAAATTAAGTGATTTGCCCAGGGTCATACAGCCAACAAGTGTCTGAGGTTAGATTTGAATATAGGTCTTCCTGACTCCTGGCCCAGTACTTTTATCTCTGCTGCCCTACCTCGCTGCCTAAAAAGACAAGGAAGAAAAGGTTCCCATCTTCAAGGTAGTACATTAACATGAATTAGTCTTACAGGGGTGTGAGACATACAGAAATTGCTATCATTACAGTCCAAACATGTGTGCAAGGGAGAAATCAGAAGTAGGCAGTGTGGAAGACTCAGATATTCTCTTGGCTTTTGTGACTCATGAAGAAGTTAATGTGACTGTGCTCACACAGCAACCTGGTAGGCTTATTGGAGTTGAGAGGAGGAAGTAGTGATGGATTTTACTGAAGCCGTGTGTATTTATTGACACCTAGGTGGCATAGTGGATAGTGAGGAAGACCTCAGTCCGAATCCTGCCTCATATTTCCTAGCTGTGTATCCTTGAGAAAGTTGTTTAAACTCTCTCAGCCTTGGTTTCCTTTTATGCATAATGGGGATAAAAATAGCATCTACTCCACAGGTGTGTCCTCCAAGCCTAGAATGTTTTCCCTCCTCACTTTCACCTTTTGGATTCCTAAAAGACTTCAGTTCAAATCTCATCTTCTTCAAGAGGCCTTCTCTGGTCCCCATCCCCCCACTCAACCCACTTTGCCCAGCTAATGCCTTCCCTTGAGGGGGGACTTAAAGGGGACTTAAACTGTATATATCATTTAGATACTATTTTTTATATGATGCATCCTCCATTAGAATATGGGCTCCTTGAGGGCAGAGACCTTGTTTTTGCCTTTCTTTGTATCCTCAGCACTTAGCACAGTGCCTGACACATAGTAAGCTCTTAATGCTTGTTAAATGATTAAGCACCTTTTCTTCCAAGTAAAATTCAAACAATACTTCTCCAGGCTAATAAACATTTCCAATGAGCTTATCATCCTTCCAGTTAAATAGTATACCTCCCTTAATATCTTCAAAATCTCAATCTGGGGAATTTTCCATCTCTCCTGAATTGACCTCCCTTATAAAAGTTGAAGCCATGGGACCCTACCTATCCTTTCTATGAACTCTTTCAAATCTGCTCTCCAAAAACCTGGCTATGTCGGGTTTTCTTCTTTTCCAATGAGGAAGTGGTCACTTCTCTACTCCACCGTACAATAGTAAACAGTTCCTCCTTACTGAGGAGAATTAGATCCAAAATAAATAGTTCTACTTTTTTGTTCTTCTGCCTGTTGAAGGTAGAAACTATAATCAAAGCAAGCCAATAAATGACTAGTTGTTTGGTTTTGGGCAAAGAAAGTTTAAACAAATTTCAAGATAAAGTCCCTTATCACTAATGTCGTATGCCTCCACAGAAGACTTGTGATCTCTTTCCTGTTTCCCAAATTCCTCCTTTACTTAATTATTCAGATCGATTTTCCATAGAAATTATCTCTAAACATTTTTAATCACATAGCACTATCAATAAAAAAAAATTTGAGCATGGAGCCCCAATGTGTAGATTTACTTATTCATAAATCATATCTATGTACATTACAAAATTCAGATTAAAATAGAAATGTTAAAAGGATAAGATAAAAAATAAATAATATTTGCTCCTAGAGTCAATAAGGGGCCACTGAAATTCATTGAGGAGGGGAGTGACTTAGACTTGTGCTCTAGGAAAGGTGCAGAAGGATGGATTAGAGTAGGGGAAAGCTGTAGGAAAAGAGATCAATTAGGAGGTTATTACAATAGTTCTAGTGAGAGGTAATGAGGGCTTAAGATAGGGTGGTGACTATGTAACTGGACAGAAGGGGATAAACAAGAGAGATGTAGAAAAACAGCAAGCTCTGGCAACTATTTGGATATGAGGAAGAAAAGTCAAATATAACTGGGAAGTTGCTAAACCCAAGGTGACTGGAAGGAAGAATGGTGGTGAGCTTAACAGTAATAAGGAAATTTGAAAGAGGGGTGAGTTGGGAGTAGGGATAGGGTGGGAAGATAATGTAATGATACATGTGATCCATATCAGAACCCACCCAACTCACCCAACCTGGCCATTCTATGGGTATCTTCTATCCCACTAAAAATGAAAAGTTGGAGAGGTAAGGCCAGGATCTTCCTAAATAATTATTTCCGCTAAAAGTAAAACCTGCCTTCTGAGGCACACCTGCCACCGCTATCAGGGGAATATCATCTGAGCTGATGTCCAACTTAAAATGAAAGAAGATGAAAACTTGCACAGGAGAGAGAGGGCAGAGTGGGGGAGTGTTGGAGAATAAGGGTAGATAATGACTGTTGGAGGTAGGCCCCACCCTTGCCACTTGTCTTCCCAACCTCTGACTGGAGGATCAATTGGTGGATCAACCCTTGGAGTTCAGCCATGGACCCTCTAAAAGTCACACCTTCTCTCTACCACCTCCCCCATTTTGGAGACCACTGCTCCACAGGATATTCCAATGACAATATCCCTTTATTCCTGCCTCTGCTGATATTAAGTCAAATGCTCTCCCAACTTCAGTGTTTAGATTTCCTAATACAGATCTTTGTCATATATATATATATATATATATATAGTTCCTCTGCCTTACTCACACATTTTGCCTACCGTGTTCCTTTAGACAAATACATATCCTTCAAAAGCCATGTTCCAGTTAAAAGTCTTATCCACAAAGTCTCAGAAATCCCTATGGGGTTAAGATCTCTATGTCACCTTGCTTATTACTCAGACTTTCTATTTAGACAGCTGAGATAACAGGTTTAATTGCTGGTTCCTTTCTTGGATTCTGCATCTTGTAAAATTTTGGGTATCTCTACTGGTATTCTTCCTTCAATGAAGCTACTCTCTGGTAAATAGCTTGGTGAATATATATAGATAGCTTTCCTATTCTTTTTTACTTTGAAGTCTTTTAGATAAAATTTCTAAGATTCCAAACAATATCTTCTTACCATTCCTTTTTAGTACACTCTATCCCTGACCAGGGGCCTGTGATTAATATATTTTAAGCCATAGTCCAGAAATCCAAATCTCATTTTCATACTTCATATTCTTAAATAGCTGTTCACTTCTCAATTCTGGCCCCTCCCTTTTTTAAGCCTTTGACCTTAATCCTACTCATTGCAGTGATGAATATTACTACTTGTGCCTTTATGGCCTTCAATTTTTTACCTACAATGTCATAATCTTTAACAATGATTTCTAAATTCCTTCTATTACTATTGATTTTGCCCAAAGTTATCACCAGAAGTAGTCATCCTGTTGACAAGTCTTGGGAGATTCTCCTACATGTCCATGAAACATGTTCCAGTAAAACATTAGGCCTCTCTGTTATTGTTATCAGGTAAATAAATAGCTGTTTCAGTAACTCTCAGATGGGAGTCACCAACCCTCCACTGTTTGCTTCTTCTTCATCTCACCCTTATGGGATTATCTCTCACCTGACGACACCTGTGGATCCACAACATCACTCCTTGGAGGTGAAGAAGCTGCTTCCTTCTCAAGAGGTACAGCTCCCTCATACTGAGGATACAGAACATTAAAACTTTCACATACTTTTCAGACAAGATGATTACTAACCATGCTTTTTCCATCTTATAATTCAATATCTATGTAGTATACTTACCCCCTAGGATAAGGCCTTAAGAACTCAGATATTTTGCTTTTTCATCCAACCTAGAGGTGACATTTTTCCAAAGACAGGGTTTTTTAATATGTCTAGATCAATTCAAAGAGACAGAGAAAGAGAAAAATAGAGATAAAGAGAGAAGACAGGGACTGGACCTCTGAGTTCACTGCAGGAAACTCTAGCATGAGGACACTCCCTTTATCAATGTCACTCAGTACTCTCTGCAATTCCGTTTTAGAGACATGCTTAGAGAACTGAGAGGTTGTGACTTTCCCAGGGTCACATAGCCAATATGTGCCAGATTCAAGAATTGAAAACCCAGGTCTTCTTGGCTCCAAGGTCAACATTTAATGCACTAAGCCACACTTTTCTCACATATATGTACACATTTTCTGGTTCGCCATTCAAACTAATATTTGGAGGGGAAAATTTTTCTATATAGGGTTGTTTTAGTAAGCAAGACTAATGCTTTTTAGTATTCTAGCAAAAAGGAACCTGGAAGAAAAGATTTAGACACTAACATGGTAGGTGTGATCCCACTGCTACGAACACATCCTCCTAAAAATTTGTTATTCCTAATTGTCAAACCTGTCCAAAGGTGGAATGGGCTACCTTGTAAGGCAAGGAATTCCCCATCACTGGAGGAATTCAGATGGAGACTGGATCCCAGGGGATCTCAGTTCAGGTAGCAATAAGATGGCCTCTGAAGTTCCTGTTCAAAATTACATTAAAAGTTGCTTTGATCAAATGGTCAAGGGAACTTACCGATGTACAAAAGATGCACTGACATTCCTGCAGAGTGGTCATCTTGTCCAGAGAATATTCACAAAGACAGAGCTTGCAAGTGACCAAAGGAGCCAAGGCGAGTTCTCCAGTTGCTGGTTTTTCCATCGTCATGGTAGAATAGCAGAGCTCACCAAAAGAGCCCATCAGTATGTCTGGACACTTCTCGGATCTTCTTAATCCCTGCAATCAGATTTCAGAACTTAAATACTTTGATCTACAAGTTAGGGCATGTCTGGGAACATTACATACCTTACAAAGTTTTGAACCAGAGGAGTGGTAAGGGGCGAGGGAAGTTAAAAATTAAGCTCATAACATTCGTAGCAATTAAGAAAGAAATATGGTTCAGTGGAAAGAGTACTGAACTCCCAGCTGTCACTTTCACCCTGTGTTACCTTAAGCAAGTCATTTCTAACTTTCTGTATGCCCAATACTGAACATAGTACCTGACACATAGTAGGTACTAATTAAATGTTGATTGACTAATTCACTGATCTGACCTCCCCTGGCCTCAAGTTCTAAAGCTATGACCCTATGAATTCGAGGACCAAGCCAAGAACATAAGAACAACCCCATTTTACCTATTCCATTCCAACTAATTGCTTTCAAGGTAAGATAAAGACACCTTTTGTAGGCCAACAACTCTCACTAAAGTCACAGGAGTCTGATAGCCCAATTCTACTTTGGGAGCCTCTTGCGTGTATGGTATGACTGAAATAAAGTATGCTTGAGCTTGAGGGAGGAGGTGGGAGGCCGTGCACAATAGGGAGATCTAAAAGCCTCCAGTTTAGCTGTGGGTTTTTTTTTAAAGAATTATATTTAAGAAGATTTAAGAAAATATATCAAGGAAGTCTTAAAATAATTTTTCTCTTAATGTTGTTTCTAAAATCTTTACATTTTATAATATCAGTAAGCTATACAAGGCATTAAAAGAAAAAAAAATCCCCAAAGTTCTTTAAAAGTATCATCATCCAACTAAACCTCAAATCTTTTTTTTTCTTTTTTGAGGTTAACTAAAACTTTCATTTTAGGATGACTCAGATACTGAACACATTTCTTGAGAATTGGGTTTTTTTCATTCTATTTTAAGAACCACTTTTGGCAGAAATACACAATATCTGATGCACTGTCCCAGTAGCACAGCTGTCAGAAATGTCCAATATCTGTTAATGAAAATAAGTCATAGAATAATGGATAATAGTATAATATATTTGGAGCTGGAAGTGCCCTTAGTGACTGCCAAGTTCAACTCCCTCATTTTATAGATGAGGAAACTAAGGGAAAGTGAAGTGACTTCCCAGGATAACATAGTGAGTGTCTATGGCAGTATTTGAACCTATGTCTTTTGACTTCAAGCCCAGTGTCCCATCTACTCTTCCAGAGGCATCAAACAGAAGACCCATAATACTCCTGAGTGCAGCCAGAACCAGATTAAAATATAACCGTGAAATGTTTAACAAAACAAATAAAAATACAATAAACATAGCTCATGTTAACATGGTTTTGTGGTCTCTATTTCTATTTAATACCACTGCCCTCCACCACACTAACTCCCAAGGCATTAACAAATGTTACAAATGAAAGACTGGAAATCTGAAAAAGTTACATGTCTTGCCCAATATCAAACACCTGTTAAGGACTCTCTGAAACTATTATGATTCAGCTTGGGTAAAATAGTGAAAAGAAGTGGTAAAGGGCTTGGGAAAAGGAGGCTTTTACCATTCATTCCCTAAATCTGTGATTACCACAATGTACATGTAGTCCTCAAGTACCTCATGGTAACCACTCAGTTCCATTTCCTGTCAGGGAAATGAAGCCTAGCAACTTGAGGTGTACACGCAAATAACATCAAGGCAGCCTGAGCCAAGCTAAAGGGTACTCCCCCAAATACAACAACCACAGACAACTACAAGATGTTCACAAGAGAATGCTTAATTCAGACCCCTGGTTATCACGCATGCAGGTCATCAGCTCCTTCTGGAAATATAAAGTCACACGTATTTTCCTGGTCTTATGTAGGAAGGGAACATTATCATGTACATGGTAAAGTTAGTTTAATCAGTGGGGGTCAAAAAGTACCTTGATCATTTCTGTTATAGGTAAATTTCCCATATTAGTAGTCGCCTGAAAAGTGACATCGTATTTCACTAAGCTCCTGCTTACCATTCCAGTTAAATATTTAATGTCCATATCAAATCCAGCACCTGGAGGTTTGCAATTTTCTTTAGGTTCTCTTGAGTCAGTTGGGTGTGGGGAGAATGAATACATATAATTACATTCATCCCTGACTGAGCCAAGTCAGGAAACTACCACCTGTTTTACTTATTCCAAGAAAGCCTCAATTTCAGGAAGACACCCTAGTTCCTGGGAAATTTTCACTCCATGTCACTGATCTTTAGTCTCATTCATAAGCTGCTTCTTCACCACTTTCAAAAAAGGTGCCTACCTAGCACATCAGAATAAGCAATGCTGGTATGCACACTTAATAATGGGAAAAGATTTCTTCACTAAGTATTTCTTCAACAGGGAATGGGGTGGAGTGGTGGAGTGGAAGCAGTTAAACTTTTTGAAGTGGCAAAGAATTGGAAACAAAGTAGGCATCCAACAACTGGGGAATAGCTCAACAAATTGTGATAAGTGAATGTATCATGATACATGAGTATTTCTCCATAGGAAATGATGACTATTTAGAATTCACAGAAGCATGGGAAGATTTATGTGACTTATGTAGGGTAAAGGAAGCAGAACCAGGAAAATAATGTACATAATGACTACATTAATATACAGTTATCCCTCTCACATCATGACTTTCCCTGCTGCAGTTTTGATATATCATGGATTGGCATAAGAAATTAAAAGGGAATTTTTGGGGAGTTTTGTGGAAGCCAAAGACAATACACAAACGACACAGAAAAAGCTTTGAAATTCATAAATGTATAAAATATATGTATAGTGTTGTATAATATCAACATATTTTATCTTTTAATACCATAATAACTCAAACTTCTTCTGTGGTATGAAAGGAGAGCCAAAAAAATTTAGGTAGATTTTTTCACATCATGGTGTCCCTAACCCCTGTAATGTGAAATGTACATGGAAAAAAAAAAACAACTTGAACTCTCATTAGTTGTAATAGCCAAGCTTGGCACCTGAGAATTAATACAAAAATATACCTTGTTCCCTTCCTTTCAGAGGTGGCAAACTATGGGTGTGGACCACTGCATACAGTCAGATTTGGTCAATGTGAGTTAATTTTTATGAACTGCTTTCTCCCCATTTTTAAAGTTTTTTTATTACATGGGATGACTTGCTGGATAGAGGGAAGGGGAGGAAAATATTCAGAAATGAAAATGAGCTTTTATTTATACATCAATAATTGTTTTAAAGAGGGAAAATTATCGGAAACTTCTATATTCAAAGTGTTTGTGACATGTAAAAGTGTCACTAAGGCAGCACAGTTTAAAAAACACAGTCCTGCTGCTCCTATCTGGCAATGTGCTTGTGAACTTTCCAAAGAAATTAAGACATTAGTCATAGCTCCCACCTTTCACAAGGAAGGCTGGGCTAAAAGAAACAAAAAATGACAGACTTAACAATGCTTCAAACATGCACATGTTAATACAAAGGAAAAATATATTTGTAACATAAATGGTCAATTGATTACTGCTTAAGGTGCCATTAAAGAATGGTCAGCATAGAACCCCTTCAATCATCCCTGTAAACAACTAAATGGAAACCACTACACTATGCCATGCTCTTCCACAGGTTAAGATATGGCCATTAAATCCCATTTCTTTGTCAGGTGCTAATGAAAAAGGGGATCTAAGCAGCAAAGAATAAGATTTGGAAGAAAAAAAAGAAACACAAAAGTTTTCTCTCAAATTACAAAAGTGTCATGAGCTTAAGTGCCTCTGACTCTAGAAATGAGTGTGAAGGATTCATGATGAAAAATGCTATCCACATGCAGAGAATGAACCAACAGAATCTGAACACAGATCAAGGCATACTATTTTTCACTTTATTTTTTCGAGGTTTTTAAAGTCTGTTTCTTCTTTCACAACATGACTAATGTGGAAATGTTTTATATAATTGTACATATATAACATCAAAAACTGCTTACCATCTTAGGAAAGAGGGAGGTGAGGAAGGGAGGAAGAAAATTTGGAACTCAAACTTTTTAAAAAATGAATTCTAAAAATTGTCTTTACATGCAATTGGGAAAAAATATTCAAATTTTTAAAAATTAGTATGGTGGGTTTGGGGTATTTTTTTGGGTGGATGGAAAAGAATAGGTCAAGAAGGGAAGGAAGAAGAGAAGCCAGCTTTTTCCTAGTTTGTACTATGTTTTAAAAAGGAGCCCCAGCAGTTCTACCTGTGTCTATAAATGTCTTCTGTACTATAAAGTACTCATTATATGAGAGGAGCCAAGCACTGATAGGAGAGAACAGGAAAACCATTTTCTCTCCTGTGTTTGCATTAAGACTGCTGAAGAAAGGAACACTTCAGAAGCAGGGCAGGAAGCACAGGGTGTATAAGGAATTTTCATATTCTGCTGGCAACCCAAAAAAGAAATATGCTCCCAAAAATATGCAGTGGGTGGGAGAGCTCTGACACTGGAAGTATTTTTAACCAATGTAGCTGCAGCCTGTTAGACTAGCCAAAATCAGAGGTAGCTAATTTCTTGTAAAAACTACAATAATAAAGGGGGGAAGGAGGAAGAATAATCCTCTAACAGGATAATTATATAGAACATTTTACAAACTTTTCCTTAAGTAGTGCTTTAGCAATAGGGCACTTAAGGAGAGTAAGAGAATCATTTATCTTTTCACAACTAGTTACCCAAATATCCAATCCCTAGTACCATGCAGCAAATGGGCTTACTTAAACCTCTGTGGGATTCACTGTAAATAGGCTACAAAGACAAGTGTAATATGAATTATGTGTGAAGCTGTCTCATCTCTGGATAGATCTGGGAAATTATGGGAAAGCTGACTCAGGAATAAAGGACAAAGAAAGGGAAATCCATGACTGTTTGTCTTTAATGAGACAAAGCATTCAGTGCCAGGGCTGTGATGTAAGTGCAATCACAGACTTGATGAGATAACACATCACTGGGAAAGTGCAATAGAAGAAGTTTTCCAAGAAAAGAAAGTGTGAGCAAAGGGATAAACCACAATAGAAAC